CGCCAACGCCGAACCAGGATATGCATCCAGCGGGGTCGAAAGGGAGCTCGGCCCCACCAGCCGACTTGGGGCGCGGGCGGCCAAGGACTGTCGCAGCGCGGGCACGCGGCCTGGACCCCCTGCCCCATCTCAGCCCTCTCCGGGCCAGGCCAGGTCCGCAGTCTCGATGCTGAAATCGAGAAAGGCGCGATGTGCCCTACAACCTGGCGTGGATCGCGACAGTGATCAAGTCGATGCGATCCCCGATAACAGCGCGGCGCAGAGGTCGCCGACCTCGAACCGGCAGATGCCGATGTGGCAGATGCGAGGGAGCTCGGCCGTGCCCTCCAGCCGATTCGGCAAGGGGGAAACAAGGGGCAGTCGCGGCGCGGCCCCGCAGCCTGGGCCGCGAGTCCCATATCAGCCTTCTCAGGGCAAAGCCAGCTCCGCAAGCTTGAAAGATAAACCGACGCAGGCGCAGCGCCGCCGCCAAAATCCCAGCTCGAAGACGCAACTTCGCAGCGCAAGGCAGCGCGGGGGGCGGGCCAATCCTCGTCTGTCGCCTGGAACTTGAAAGGTCCAGCCCCGCTGGGTGGCGGGCGATGCCCCGCCCCCTGAGCCAGCGCGCAGACGACGCAGCCGCTCGCCGTCGGGATCAGGCGCTGCCCGCGGCCGGGGCGCGACATCGAGGTGCAACTTTCGTGGCGTGGGGTGGGGGGGGGGCTTAGACTGGGCGTCGACTGCTGGGCGCGCGCGGCCGGCCACGGCGCTGTCTCGCACCCTGCCCTCGCCTTGGTCGCAAGTGACCTGGCAGCGGGGTCGCCGTGGGCGCTGCCGCAGAAACCACGTTTGGCCGGGGGTTCGCAGCAATCGGCGCTGCCTGCCGGGGTCCGCCGCCGCCCCTCTGGGCGCGGAGCGGGCGCGCGGTGCGCGCCCAGATCCCGCGCCGACCCCCTGGGGCCTCAGTCGTCAGAGCCGAAGAATCGCTGCGGGGCCCGGGGCCGGATGGCCACTTGAATCCGGGCCCCTGCGTTCCCCGTTGAGACCTATCGCGGATTGTCGCGCGATCACTGCGGGCCCAAGAGGGCCCGGCGAGGGGCCGGGCGAGCCCCGCGGGGCCCCCGAGGCGGCCCTTGAGAGCCCCGAATCGCCGCCAGATCGCTCCAATACGCCCAAGATGGCCTCGAGATGGCCCAGGACATTTCCGAGGCGACCCCAGAAGCCTCCAACGAGCCTCCCATGAAGGCCCCGAGAGACAGACGCCCTTGACTTTTCGTTCGGCGTTCGCAAAGTTTTGGCGAACTCGCCCGCTCGGCTTCGCGACGCTTCAAGACGGCCACGGAGCCCGAGACCACCAAGAGACGGCCCGAGGAGCCTTCGAGAGGGCCCCTCAACGGCGCGAGAGCTCCCCGGGACGGCCCGAGAGGCGACTGAGACGGCTCGCGAGGGCCCCACGACGGCCCCCGACAGGCCCGAGAGCGAGGGCGCGGCCCAAAAATCCGAGCACCCCGCCCGCGGCGGCGGGGCGGGCCACGCGCGGTGGAACACGACAGAAAACCGCCTTCAGAACATCAACTTTGCCAGGCGAAAGACACGCAGCGATGCCGACCAAGCTGTCCGCCATGATAAGCATCGCACCGGGGGCGACGCCCTTCCGCGCCCCCCCGCTGCCCGCGCGCGGCCCCATTGTCCAGCGAAAAAACAGGCGGGGACACTTTTTGCGGGGGGATAGCCATTCGCCTCCAGCGAAGGCCGCGCAGGGGCGGCGTGAAGCTCACACCCATCCTCGACATGGTCGGACTGGGTCTGCGGAGTGCCAGCTGGACCGATGCGGGTCCCAACTAGGTCCGCGACCAGGTGCCTTATGTGATCCGTGATGAAACCGTGGGCCCTGGGGCCCCTCTCCAAGGTGCTCGCGAGGCAGATACGATTGCCCTCCTCGACATCGGCCGTGCCCAGGCTAAGTTGGGGGCTGTGAAGAAACAGCGCCTGCCGTGCCATGATCAGCTGGGGTGCGCACGGCCTCGCGGGCTCCGTTGGCGATGGGCTCGATCTGGCAGGCGCACCCCTCAGCCGAGGCGTTGCCCCAGTCCTTGCTGAAACCAGAGGCTGCGGCCGCAGCGCCATCCCCACCCCACGCGGGGCCTGTTCTTCCACCGCCTCTCGAGAACTCGTCCGGGCGTGCATGGGCTTTGACCCGCGCGCTTCTTGCAATGGGCAGCCACAGCATTCTTCGCCTCGGCAGAAGGGGGCGTGGAACTTATTCGCACAGGCCCATGCCTAAGACGAGGCGGTCCCCAAATGTTTCTGCAACTCGCGCAACATGATCGCCTGGTCGGCCTCGTCAAGCTCGTGTCAGGCCTCGAACGGCGTGGGGTCGGCACCGAAGGTACCATTGTCGGGAACTTGGCTCTCGGGGGGGAAAAAAAGGCATCAGGACCAAGCGTGGCAGTCGCCGCGAGAAACCAGGTTTGGTCCGCATTGTACCTCGGTGGTTACAATGCGTTGTTGCGCCCGCGCTTCGCTCAGAAATCCCCCAACCTGGGCCATGTTTTGTTTTGCCGCGTCGCGTTGGACGACATACGGGCGTTAGCCACACCCTGCGACTGAACCTGATCGACCAGGGCATTGGCGGCGGGGTCACGCCAGCAACCTCGAGGTAGTCCTGGAAATAGATTTCTGGCGTGCGTTGCCCCGCGCTGCCTCCAAGTTGGTCGAGCAAACAACTGTTCGTCACGAGGTCGCCAGTTGACGATGCCCTTGGGCGGAGCAGTGTCTGGTTGGCGCCAAGCGGTGTCCCAGGAAAACGTCAACTCACCGCAAACCCTGATTGCATGTGTCGTTCTGGCTCTAAAAAGGCGAGTTCCCCGCCAAATTCTGACACCTTGACTACGCACGCCCGAACAACAAACTTTGTTTCGCATGGCGTCTCTGGTCCGAAGCCTTGTGGAAGATCGGAATACGCGTGCCGAGCCTGGACGAACAGACTCGAGGCATAAACCACTGGGGCACAGTCGAACACACATGGGATCCGTTTGGTTCACCCGAAAACCATGCATCTAGAGCCAAAGCAAGTGTCTACGAAGGGGATATGGCTGAGGGTGATGCGTGGAGGAAACAGAAAGGACAATCTGACCATGATAATTTTGAAGGAGGGGAACAAAAAGGTGGCAGGAAACGGGGAGAGCAGGTGGGATAACGATGCTAATGATGAGTCGCATGATGGAACGAGTAGCGCAGAAGGAGGAAGAAGGGTGACTGATGAATAATGGCCGGCGTGGTATTGAGTAGGAAGCAGGACGGGAGGAAACACAATGACATACTCAGAAATGGCAATGTAGGAATGGCGAGGCATCGGGGAGGAGGGAAGCGGGGGGGCGACGGAAGATTCTGGAATGAACAAGACAAGAAAAAGAGCTGAAGCACTGCCGTGAAACACCTCCCAAACCAACTCAGATATGTTCCTTGGACCCTTTCCGTTTTGGCCTGTTTTTCGAGCCGCGTCTGGCCGCGGCAACAAAGGCGCAACCCCAAGAGCCTGAACAAATCGCTGTGGCCGCTGCTGTCCTCAGGCCGCCGTCGCCGTCGTCGCCGTCACCGTCATCGGCTCATCTGGACATGCGGAAAGAAACAAATCAATTTGCATCCAATCGGGAAACCGGGTCGAATCGGAATGTGCGTCGGATTGGGCCGCACCTGCATGGAGTCGAATCCGAATTGGATCGGCCGCGCAGGGATGCGCCAAATGGATCCGATACGGGCCTGTGTTCGCATGGCGTTGGAACGTCATGCGGAAACTGGGCCAGGTTGCGTAGGATCCACGATAAATTGAAATCGTACCGTATCGGGCCCGCCGACATCGGCATCAAACCAGGACGATCGGATCGAAATTGACTCAGTCTGGAAGAGGTCCTGGTGGAAACGGGTTCTGGGCTGCCCCTTGGGAGGCTTTTCCAACTGACTGCCTCCGAGAATGGCAAGCGACCCGGGCACCCGAACGCTGCGAAGGACTTTTCGACCAGTACCGTCCTCGGCGGTCGTCGTGGCCGCCGTCGCGACCGTCGCCGCCGCGATCGCCGCCGCCTCCTTTCAAGATCCTTCAATGCGATCGCCGCCGTTTTTTCTGCCGCGATCGCCGCCGTTTCCTTCCCCCCGTCCTCCGTGGCGACCGCCGCCGCTGTCGCCGCCACAACCACGACCGCCGCGACCGACGCCGCGACCCTCGCCGCCGTCTTCCCATCATTGCAATCCCCCCCGGCGGCATTATTTTTCGGTGGTAATGCATGGGCGGGGGGCGATCAATGGAGGCGAAATCCTGAACTGTTCGTGCCCGTTTCGGGCCCCTTCTCACGCCCGCATAGGGGAAACATAGGGCACCGCCATTGCGCGAAGCCGGATTTTTGTTTACACCGTGGACATCCGAAGGTGTGGCCCCCACCGGGGGGGACTGTCTTTGCACCCCGAATTGTTTTTCAACGGCCCCGCGGCATCGCCCACAAGCTGCGCCACGACACGTCGGAGGGGATCTGGGCATCCCTCACACCGCGTTGACCGCTGCCGCCGCCGTCCCTTGGCTCTGACCATCCCTGGCACGTTTGGGCGTGCGCATCATTGCCTACCGCGCCGCTCGACAAGTCGTGCATTCCTCAATTTCGTCCTAATCGCTGATGTTGCCTGCCTCACGGTGATCGCCGCCGCTTTCGCCGCCGCATACAAAGAACACGGTCACAATACGACGGCCCAGCTTTCAGCTGCCTTTTCGGGCCGGATCGATCCGTGGTCCTGGGGCCCGAAACGAGGCAAGATCGCCCGCAGAGGAAATCCAACGCCAGAGCAGAGCAGAGCAGAGCAGAGCGGCCACCAATCCGTCCGGCGGGACGGCTCCGTAGTGCGCTTAGCGCACGGAGAGGCCGTACATGTACGTGATACAGCGAGACCGTGTAAGAGTGAAACGTCAGACGCTGGAAAACAAACGCATCCGCCGCCGCGACAGCCCTCGCCGCGATTGCCGCCGCGACAGC